TTCAGAGGAATTACTAATTCGGGTTTGACATCACAGGAAGTTCAGAATGCTCCTTTTTAAAGTTGCCTTATAATCTGTTCTGCATCTTTGCAGGTTGGAATACGTCTCTGGCCTTCCATCTTAGTCAGGGATATGGCATATCATCCAGCGCTGAATCTGGCTGAGCTGCCTGAATAATTTCTGTAGTTTGAGGTGTTGAAGGAATTTGGTTGACTCCTGTGTTATCTGACAGGTGTCCCTTGACAACTTGATTTAATCCTCTTGGCATACTTTTGTTTTTCTGGTGCTCTAAGCCAAGGTGGGAGATGCAGTCGGTATAATCAGGCTTCTGTAGTTGCAATAAATTACCTAACTATGTTTATTAAGATGAGTGTAGTGATCACCTGAGAGAAAAAATGTTCTTTGACTGAAACAAGCCTTAAGGATTTGTTCAGTATTAAGTGAATTTCACAAGTGCTCTGTCTGCTTCAGTGCAAGTAGGAATCGTGCAGTAGAATGATCAGCTCCACCTTGTTGCAATAATAGGTCCTATTAATTTTCATGTTTTATTTGAAAGGTCTCTGTAATTCCCAATGGAAAGGTGAATTACACAATTCCTTCTAGATTAAGCAGTTTGCACATAGCCTTTCATGAATTGAGAGGTTAGATTGGCTTTTTGAAAGTATCCCACCTTTATTTGAATAGTCTTTCATTTGAAGACTAGCAAATGGGATCTCTGCTTCGTTCCCAAGTGAATTGCTATCAGTTTCTAAGTTCTTACCTTGATATTATTCTAATTTTTCAAGTAGACCTCGGTTTTGTCTACTTGTGTAGGTGTACTGATTGAGGAAGCAGCTTTCCTGAGCAAATGTGGCTAAGAATTCTGGTTTTAAGAATGCTGGCTGCAAATTATAATACTGGGACTTACTTTCCATGGTGCTCTGTGTCATCACCTGGTGTAGAGTGACATTTAAAAAAAAACAAAAACAAACAAACAAAAAAGTAAACCAAAACAAAAAGACCAAGTGCATACTTCTGAATTAAAATACCCAGTCTGATTTTTATCATTAGTGCAGGGATTGACTGCTTTCTGGCTGGGTATTGTATATAAGCTTTAACTCACCAACTTAACCAAACCTATAGATGTCTACAGAGGGCTTTTAAAATAGCCAAAAATATTGTAAATTACCAGTGAGTACATCTGAAATACGTCATAGCCTGTTCTAGAGGCAGATGGCGGAGCCGAATCCTGCTTTAGTGATTAACTGAGGTTGGAGATGATTTCCTTGCGCTGCAGCTAGAGCCTTGGTGAGAAGAGAGCCCTGGTGACACGTCTCCCTGCAGCAGATCCCCTCACGGTTCTCTCCTGGGGGGTGCTGAGATCTCCAAATTCTCAAAGCAGTGACAAAGCGGGGTTTAGCAGGTCAGAATTGATCTATTGAGTCCCATCTTACATAAACATCTGAGTTAACTGTCATGTGCTGGGGGATAAGAGATTCTTTGTGTGGCAGTGATACTGTTACTACGGCAATAACCTTTATGCCAGATCCGTGCTGCTGAAACGTTAATGCAGGATGAGGCCAACATAGAAGGGAAGTTACAGTACTGCAGGAATTTAGGAGTGAAGTTACTGGATAAAACATTTCAGGCTACTACCAAGTACAGTGGGTTCGCTTTCCCTTAAACCTGTTTCAGAAAATATAGATGGTTTTATATATATCGAAATATTGATAGTTTTATAAGCACTGTAGAAGTTTAAATGTAAAATAGCAACATTTTTATCAATGTTTTTTAATGTGAGGCCCAAGGTAGAATTTCAAATTGACAATTATTTCCTTTTTTTTTTTTATAAAAGGAGCTCTAAAAAGCCGTTTAGAGTTAATAAAACCAAGCAGAAAGAATTGCCGAGAAGCCTAAAAGTGAAAAGAAATAAGCTTATATCTGTGAGACCCCTTATTATCTGTATTCAGATCCTGGAGCTGCTGAATGCTGGTCTCTGTTGGGAGCTGTGAGGTGATGCTGGTCTCTGCCAGAGCCAGCCTGCCGTTCCCATGCCAGGCTGGGAGGCGAGGACCCACCACGGGAGGGTGAGACAGGAGCAGGATCCAATCCTGCTTCTTGCAGTGCTTTAATGCAAAACCCCTGCGTGCTGGTAAAAGCTGAAACCAGTGAGTGCTTTCAGTAAGTAGTCCTTCGTGTGGAAATGGGAGAAAACTCAACAGTTAACCCATTTCACATCATTTTCAAGTCATTCTACCGTCAGCTTCTTAGTTGTTAAAGAATGTAGTTATGTCAACAGAGATGGAAAAGCTCCTGTGCAAAAAGGGCAGGAAATCACGTTCTTCCCCACAATTGCAGTTAAAGAAACAAAAGAGCAGAAGGTACCTTCCTGATTGTAGTTCAGGCAACTTGGTTGCTGTCCCATTTGTATCCTTATCCAGCGCTTTTGAAACCAGTTATGACTCTTTCCTTCTACAATTCCTGCTTCCAGACGCTTCTTTCTATTTGTATCTCAAATTTATTCATGATCAATTTATACCATTAGTTCTTGCCCCTTTATATTAAATAGCTTTTCTCACTCCGCAGTATTTGCAAGCCCGATGTATTTAGCAACCATTAAACTGCTTGATTTTCTTTTTGCAAAGATAAACATGTGAAATATTCCCCATGCTCAGAGGGAAGCGTTTCCACATCCGTTCTGTTTTGAAATCATCTGTCTTGGATTTGAATGACTGGAATTGCATTTGGTATGTTGAATTCTGACTAATGGTTTGATGCAGTAGTGCTGCTGCTGTTAATGGCTGCATTAGGTTAGTGCCTGGGAGTTACGTGTTTTAGTACCAAAGAAAGTTCTCTACATCTCTGTCACTTGCAGTTGATGCCCTCAACTCGTAGAAGATGGTCATTAAAGAAATTGCTTTCTTTCTCTGTATCATCCCGTTTCTGTTGTTCCCTTCTCAGTCATCTCTTTGGGTTTTTTTGATAGTTCTGTTTCTCCCTCTAGTTTGACAATCTTTCTTAGCGTTATCTTTGCATTTTCCCATAAACTCTTGCATTTATTTATTACATAATTTTTCTTAAGATCGGTCTTAAAGCCAGTTCTTGAGAAACTGTTACTGAATTTCCTTGGTGATAAACAGTGTGATGTAACCTCTTCTTCAGCTGGTTCTCTACCTGTTTCAGTTCTTAAACTACCCTCTGTTTATCAACAATGTCCTATTTAGCTTTGCTGAGGCCATGTAGATTACTGCTTTTCCTTTTGACTGACAAATCAGAGAAAGATCTGTGTTTTTCTGTATGAGCTACCTTTTGGTAATCTCATGTTGAGTTTTATCCTCTTTTCTTTTTAATTCTCTTAATTTTCATATTTAAGAACATTCAAAATTTACAAACATTTTAAGACTATTTTCCATGCTGTCATGCGTCCTTTTATCTGATGTCCTGCTTATTCCTACTTTAATTCTGTAGTAGTCCATATAATATACTGGAGAGCCTGTCTGTGACTGTTGGAGCAAAAAGGACTTGTGAAACAGGCTAAATTTAGAGACTTTATATGAGAAAGAGTCTGAAAAAGCAGCCGAATTGAAGTATGAGTAACATCTTAGTAAGTGTGAAGTTAGGAGCTTGCTTGTTTGGCTTGAAATCTTCAGGATCAGCGCAACGTGGAAGGAATCATTCTGGATGATAAATTAATTTGTCCATTTAGAAATGGAGTGGGATGGGATGGTGCAGCGTGTGTGAGGTGGAAAGGTCATTCCTCATTTATGGAGAGTCACCTTCCTTCTGCTCTGCTGGAAGAGAGGGAAGGTTGCACTTTTTGTTTTAAAATGTCAGTTTGGCCTAGAAGTTAGGGGGAAACAAGACTTCGTTATACTTTAAGGATTGAAGTAGTGACTGAAAAAGTGTTTTGTTTGTTTGTTTTAATTACAGTTTGGCAATCTGATTTTTACATGCTGAGCTGACCTAGTAAGAAGAAAAGTGATTTCCTCTTTAGTTTAGTAAAATATATATTAACATTTAATAATTATCATTCCAAGCATTAAATGCAGACTTCCTTGCAAAGTAAGATAAAACTTCTGTATAAATGAGAGGAAAGACAAAAATTGTTTAATCACTGCGTAGTGATAAACCTATTAGTGTTCCCCCATTTGGATGGGAATATCTGCATGCTGCTGTAGTGAAACCATCAGCAAAAGAATATTTGTGTATTGAGAAATGGTGTATTTTAGCTGTCAAGCTTGACTGTTACTCAAGGAGGAGCGAGGGAGATTACCAGCTGCTATTTAGCTAATAGAGATCTCCATCCAAAGAAAGACCCACCAACAACAAAAAAACCAAGCCACCCTCCAACGTATATACCAAACTTGTTTTTTTTTTTTAAACAGAGAATGGTACAGTATTTTTGTAAATGTTGAGTATGAATAGCTGGCTTGTTTTTCTCTGAGCCTGCCTGGCAGTTAAGAATAGTTCTTTATCTGTCCCATTAAGACCGTATTATTTTACAGAAAAGTGGGTGGTATCCAATTTTACCCTGGTATTGGCCAACTCCCAGCAAATTCTTACTGACACTGGAAGATGTAAGAAACATCAACAAATATTTTCTTGAACAATTAACTCTATAATTTTTTTTAAGTCAGTGTCCTGCCTCCCGAAGCTCTGATACACTGAGGCAGGGTCCGTAGCATTCCTTGGTGATAACTCTTGATATGACAACCCCACTAACACAAAAAGCCTTTGCTTTCCAGGGAGGTTTTTCCTTTAAAGCAATTGAGCTGCCTTGCAAAGTTGTCCCTCCTTAATTGTTCTGGCTTGTTAACATCAGCCTTGGTACCAGCTTTGTCTCTGAGAGTTGAGGGAGCTGATGGTGGTCAGCGAGTTGGTGGCCCCTGGCACCCGAGAGACATGTAGACGTTTTGGGCCCTTTGAGAGTAGCTATGTGGAAGTGGGATGGTCTGGTGAGAGCAATAATCAAACTTGTTATATTTTGTGTTAAATTTGCTGCTTTTTTTTATCTCCAACAGCTACGTCCCCTCGAGTTTCCTCGGAGCTCGAGCAGGCACGGCCTCAGACGAGCGGCGAAGAGGAGCTCCAACTGCAGCTGGCGCTGGCCATGAGCCGGGAAGTGGCGGAGCAGGTCAGTTCCCGTGTAGGTTTTCCAAAGTGTTTATGCTTTGATAGTTGAGACTACAATCCTGTTTCTTTCAATGGCAGCTTGGCTTTGCTCCAGGTGGACTAGGGGGAGAGAAAGGCCATTTTGGAAGATGTTGCTCTTTTATTTTTTTAAATTTTTTTTTTTTTAAATCTCTTTTAAAAGTAACTGCAGCCTCCGAGCTGTTGAGACTAGTGGAAGACAACAGTCACTTTGCAAGAAGACTTTGTGTGGGAGGATGTTAATCATCACATTACTGAAGATGTTTTCAGTTAGGAAGAACTGAGAACATGACTAGTCCTGAAAACCTTCATTAATGGGGCCAGCATAAGAAACATCAGTGAATTCTGATTTGCAATGAAATCTTGAATGATCTGCTCATTTGGTGAGATTGTCTGGAACAAGCCAACTCCCAGCAAATTCTTACTGACACTGGAAGATGTAAGAAACATCAACAAATATTTTCTTGAACAATTAACTCTATAATTTTTTTTAAGTCAGTGTCCTGCCTCCCGAAGCTCTGATACACTGAGGCAGGGTCCGTAGCATTCCTTGGTGATAACTCTTGATATGACAACCCCACTAACACAAAAAGCCTTTGCTTTCCAGGGAGGTTTTTCCTTTAAAGCAATTGAGCTGCCTTGCAAAGTTGTCCCTCCTTAATTGTTCTGGCTTGTTAACATCAGCCTTGGTACCAGCTTTGTCTCTGAGAGTTGAGGGAGCTGATGGTGGTCAGCGAGTTGGTGGCCCCTGGCACCCGAGAGACATGTAGACGTTTTGGGCCCTTTGAGAGTAGCTATGTGGAAGTGGGATGGTCTGGTGAGAGCAATAATCAAACTTGTTATATTTTGTGTTAAATTTGCTGCTTTTTTTTATCTCCAACAGCTACGTCCCCTCGAGTTTCCTCGGAGCTCGAGCAGGCACGGCCTCAGACGAGCGGCGAAGAGGAGCTCCAACTGCAGCTGGCGCTGGCCATGAGCCGGGAAGTGGCGGAGCAGGTCAGTTCCCGTGTAGGTTTTCCAAAGTGTTTATGCTTTGATAGTTGAGACTACAATCCTGTTTCTTTCAATGGCAGCTTGGCTTTGCTCCAGGTGGACTAGGGGGAGAGAAAGGCCATTTTGGAAGATGTTGCTCTTTTATTTTTTTAAATTTTTTTTTTTTTAAATCTCTTTTAAAAGTAACTGCAGCCTCCGAGCTGTTGAGACTAGTGGAAGACAACAGTCACTTTGCAAGAAGACTTTGTGTGGGAGGATGTTAATCATCACATTACTGAAGATGTTTTCAGTTAGGAAGAACTGAGAACATGACTAGTCCTGAAAACCTTCATTAATGGGGCCAGCATAAGAAACATCAGTGAATTCTGATTTGCAATGAAATCTTGAATGATCTGCTCATTTGGTGAGATTGTCTGGAACAAAAGGGTGACCTGATACAAAGCAGTAGAATCTATAAAGAACCTGGTTTACAATAACTTGACTCCTAATCTATCACACGGGTTATGTTACTGTGGTAATTCTTAGGAGGGTCATTCTGAATTTGAAGTAAATGCTTTAAAGTTTACTGCATATTAACGTATAATAGAGTTGTTGAATCTCAGCTATGAGTGAAAATTCAAATCAGCCTACTGAGTGTCTAATATTGTAGAGGCTTCCTGTGAAAATTTTACCTTACTGCTGTGTGTTATGCATTAGTATCTCTGTGCTTGAAAAGGGAAACTGTCACACAGTAAACTTTGTTATTATTGAGCAATAAAGTTAAAGAAAGTTGAAATAGCTTAAAAAATTGCAGGGGAAATGCCAGCTGGGGAATTAGTCAACTTCTGAAAGCCGTGATGCAAGGAAAGATATTTAAAGTAGTTGAATATACCATAAATGTGGTAGTTTACAGATGTTCAAAACCTACAAAATATGCATAGACGTGGCTGGATTAATTCACTTAGTGTTCTTTATAACAGTTGCATCAGCTATGGAGGGAAGCTGACAAAAGCCAGGAAAATTGAAGTTTGAATCACTACGTCGTCCTGTGGTGATTTCAATGCTCAAAAACATTACAGTAATTTAGAGAGGGGTTATTTACTTTGTCTTTAAGTTCTGTGATGTTTCTGGCATTGTAACTGATTTTTTGGAAAGAATGTTTCATTTATACCTTTCCTATTAGGAGTAAAACAACATCAGGGTAAATTTCAGTCAGCAAAAGGGATGTTGTTCTGATCAGACTGTTATGCTGGTGTTAAAGGGTCAGGGTGCTCCTGCCCTCCTTTTGAGGCAAGAATCACCAAAGAAATGTTTTCCCCCCAACTTGTATTACATACAAGTTACAGCAAATAGTCCTGGCAATCCCTGTGGTGTGTGTCACTCCTAGGGTGGCAGGGAGGACTGCCCAGGCCTTCCCTGGCGGTGTCCTGCCCAGGGGGTAGACATCTGGAGGGAGCAAGCAGCCCAGTCTAGGCTAATGGTCTATATCAACAGTGTTGATTTCCTTTGCAGGAGGAGCGCCTCAGACGCGGAGATGATCTGAGATTACAGATGGCTCTGGAGGAGAGTCGCAGAGACACAATTAAAATTCCCAAAAAGAAGGAGGTAGTGCCTTCGACTAAGAAATTCCCGGTTATGCTGCCAAAAGCTGAAATACAGTAACACAAAATAGCTTAATACTGAGCTCTTTTATGCTTTTGGGATTGCTTTGTTGTATAGCTTAAAGCTTCTTCCATGTGGGTTAAATTTCAAACTACTAGTCAATGCAGGTGTGTAAAAGGAAAAAAAATATAATAATAATTGCTTCTTCACTCTCATGGGTTTGTAGTTCAGATTGGTAATGCTCTTGATTAAAGCTCAGATTATTCCTGCCCTCAGCATACCACTTTGTTGGACCTAATGGATGCCCTGCCCTCCTCGGCACCGGCCCCACAGAAAACAGAGCCTTGGGGACCTCCTGCTGTTGCAAACCAAACTGATCCTTGGGGAGGATCCACAGTTGCAGCTACTGCCTCTGACCCGTGGCAATCATTTGGTAAGAATAAACTGGCAGAAGGAATGCTTATTTAAAAGTCTTTGCTTTTTAATGTTGAGATTTTCAAAGCTAAGTTCATGGAATCTGTTTCTGAAGTGAAAGATCCAGTGCTTCACATCTTAAAGAGCAATTAAGTCCACTTTTTTCTTGTTAGCTTTTATGCTGCCTGTGTAGTGTGCTGGTTTCTAGGTGAGCCAAAGTCTGTCCAGGGAGCTACTCCTTTGCATAAAAAAGTTGATGGTAACTGCAGCCTCCGAGCTGTTGAGACTAGTGGAAGACAACAGTCACTTTGCAAGAAGACTTTGTGTGGGAGGATGTTAATCATCACATTACTGAAGATGTTTTCAGTTAGGAAGAACTGAGAACATGACTAGTCCTGAAAACCTTCATTAATGGGGCCAGCATAAGAAACATCAGTGAATTCTGATTTGCAATGAAATCTTGAATGATCTGCTCATTTGGTGAGATTGTCTGGAACAAAAGGGTGACCTGATACAAAGCAGTAGAATCTATAAAGAACCTGGTTTACAATAACTTGACTCCTAATCTATCACACGGGTTATGTTACTGTGGTAATTCTTAGGAGGGTCATTCTGAATTTGAAGTAAATGCTTTAAAGTTTACTGCATATTAACGTATAATAGAGTTGTTGAATCTCAGCTATGAGTGAAAATTCAAATCAGCCTACTGAGTGTCTAATATTGTAGAGGCTTCCTGTGAAAATTTTACCTTACTGCTGTGTGTTATGCATTAGTATCTCTGTGCTTGAAAAGGGAAACTGTCACACAGTAAACTTTGTTATTATTGAGCAATAAAGTTAAAGAAAACAAAAATCATAATCTATCAGTTGAAATAGCTTAAAAAATTGCAGGGGAAATGCCAGCTGGGGAATTAGTCAACTTCTGAAAGCCGTGATGCAAGGAAAGATATTTAAAGTAGTTGAATATGGTAGTTTACAGATGTTCAAAACCTACAAAATATGCATAGACGTGGCTGGATTAATTCACTTAGTGTTCTTTATAACAGTTGCATCAGCTATGGAGGGAAGCTGACAAAAGCCAGGAAAATTGAAGTTTGAATCACTACGTCGTCCTGTGGTGATTTCAATGCTCAAAAACATTACAGTAATTTAGAGAGGGGTTATTTACTTTGTCTTTAAGTTCTGTGATGTTTCTGGCATTGTAACTGATTTTTTGGAAAGAATGTTTCATTTATACCTTTCCTATTAGGAGTAAAACAACATCAGGGTAAATTTCAGTCAGCAAAAGGGATGTTGTTCTGATCAGACTGTTATGCTGGTGTTAAAGGGTCAGGGTGCTCCTGCCCTCCTTTTGAGGCAAGAATCACCAAAGAAATGTTTTCCCCCCAACTTGTATTACATACAAGTTACAGCAAATAGGAAATGTTTTCCCCCCACTTGTATTACATACAAGTTACAGCAAATAGTCCTGGCAATCCCTGTGGTGTGTGTCACTCCTAGGGTGGCAGGAGGACTGCCCAGGCCTTCCCTGGCGGTGTCCTGCCCAGGGGGTAGACATCTGGAGGGAGCAAGCAGCCCAGTCTAGGCTAATGGTCTATATCAACAGTGTTGATTTCCTTTGCAGGAGGAGCGCCTCAGACGCGGAGATGATCTGAGATTACAGATGGCTCTGGAGGAGAGTCGCAGAGACACAATTAAAATTCCCAAAAAGAAGGAGGTAGTGCCTTCGACTAAGAAATTCCCGGTTATGCTGCCAAAAGCTGAAATACAGTAACACAAAATAGCTTAATACTGAGCTCTTTTATGCTTTTGGGATTGCTTTGTTGTATAGCTTAAAGCTTCTTCCATGTGGGTTAAATTTCAAACTACTAGTCAATGCAGGTGTGTAAAAGGAAAAAAAATATAATAATTGCTTCTTCACTCTCATGGGTTTGTAGTTCAGATTGGTAATGCTCTTGATTAAAGCTCAGATTATTCCTGCCCTCAGCATACCACTTTGTTGGACCTAATGGATGCCCTGCCCTCCTCGGCACCGGCCCCACAGAAAACAGAGCCTTGGGGACCTCCTGCTGTTGCAAACCAAACTGATCCTTGGGGAGGATCCACAGTTGCAGCTACTGCCTCTGACCCGTGGCAATCATTTGGTAAGAATAAACTGGCAGAAGGAATGCTTATTTAAAAGTCTTTGCTTTTTAATGTTGAGATTTTCAAAGTTAAGTTCATGGAATCTGTTTCTGAAGTGAAAGATCCAGTGCTTCACATCTTAAAGAGCAATTAAGTCCACTTTTTTCATGTTAGCTTTTATGCTGCCTGTGTAGTGTGCTGGTTTCTAGGTGAGCCAAAGTCTGTCCAGGGAGCTACTCCTTTGCATAAAAAAGTTGATGGTTCCTCACAGTACGTGTTAAACTTGCTACGTCAGTGGAATTGGAGCTGTTTTTTTGTTGGCTTTGAATTTTTTTCTGTTTTTTGAGGGGGCAGGGGTTCTTTGCAAATGGAATTTTTTCCCTGAAGACTAACGTTTTTTGTTGGCTTTGGATTTTTTTCTGTTTTTTTGAGGGGGCAGGGGTTCTGTGCAAATGGAATTTTTTCCCTGAAGACTAACAGTTTAGTTCTCTCAGTTTTGCTTCAGGCTGGTGAATTTACAACCTCTGCTATACAGTGTTTGAAGGTAATTTGCTTTAGCCCATCACCATCAAGATTCTTGATGAAAATTTTGGATTTGAGTAATGAAGTGCTTTTGGTTTTGTTTTTTTCCTCCTCATGGTGGCATTAAAGGCACCTGTGTAGCTGCTGGGCCAGCTACAGTTCATTGTTCTAAGTGTAATCTGTTTCTTTTTTTGGTGATAAACTGCAAGCATGAAATCAGAAAAAGTCCAAGTTTTGGGCCCTGAGGCTGTTCAGTGTATTTTTCTGTGGCTAAAAACCAAACAAAACCCATGTTCTTTAAATTTCATGCTCAATATATCATTTTCTGACCACATTTTCCTTGCATCAGTTGCAATTGTATCATTTCCTCTCAGTGTCTCCCAACTTTATTAACGCCATAGAACACCCCCTTGTTCCACCTTGCTGGTTACTTGGCTCCCGACCATGGTCTTGAAGATGTGAGATTTATGAATTTAACTGCTAATAAGAGTGACTCATTAAATTGTATTTCTCAAATCCTGTGCTTTGGCATTTCAGTAGAGATAATGGAAGCCATGGGAAGGTATCTTCCCAAGGGCTCTGTTTTTGTGTGCTCTCTTTATGAAAGAAAAGACATTTTTTTTGAAAGCTTCCGTTTCTGGGAAGTGCTGTCATTAGCATTTCTTGTGTGGCATTGCTCGTAACTCAGCACTAAGGGCAGATAAAGGAAATGTAAGTACCGGTGTGGGAATAGTTGAACTTCTTTGGAGAATTTTAGCATTTCCTGCTCTGAAGCTGAAGCAAGACTGTGCCGCCTGTTGATGAAACAAAGACCAACATTGCAAATTGGAATTTGTGCCACTGTGTGTAGCACTGGATTTGTTTTCAAGAATATCGTGGTGCCACGGGGGTTTGTACATAGTTTTGAAAAATGAAGCAATAATTCAGTTGTAACTTGAAGCCCACATGGTGGTTAAAGATAATGGCCGTGTACGGCATGCGTAATTCTGTCCTACTCTTGGATTATACAGTTGTTTAGTAATTAAACCATGACTGGTTGAGAAGTTTCGTTGGGAAGAGGAAATGTGTTTGCATGTACTGTACACAAAGGCAACTGATCGCTGTAGAGTTGTACAGGATGTGCATTTAAAGCACTGGGTTGCCATTCCTGTGCTCCAATGGCCAGGATGGATGTCAGGGGAACAAAGCAGGAGTGATACCTTCCAACACTGGCCTGGCCCTCTGCAAATCTGAAATGTGATTTTTCTCCAGTGGTCCTGGGGTTGATAAGCCAAAATAGTTCCATTTAATGGTAGAAGGAAGAAGTCGTCACCTAAGCTGAAAAGCCATAAATTAGTAGGTTAGTGAGGAAGAAGAAAAAAACTGACAGGAAATTGTCTGTACTGAGGCAAATTTCTTTCTCTTTCCTTTTCCCTTTACTGCCTTAATTTGTCATTTTAGAGTAAGAAGCCCTAACTGTGTGCACAACCTGTTGATGTACCAGCAGTTTGGTAATCTGAATTTGTAGGAGTGAAGAGTTACCAGCATCTTCCAATAAAAATGGGAATCCTGAACATACAGGCACTGGAATTTACTTGTGCTTGTTGTTCAGTATGTATGACACATGCTGAGGCTTATCAGTATTCCTAATGTTGAACTGCTTTACCTATTTATGTTTATTATTAGTTGACAGTAATGGCTCATAAGAGAGATTAATCTCCAGGGAAAGCTTTCCAAAGTGGAACTGTACTGACTTGTGTTCCTGGTGCCTCTTTTTGCAGGTGCCAAACCAGCTGCTTCTGTTGACCCTTGGGCAGCACCAGCAGGATCCACAGCTCAGTCTTTGCCCAAAAATGTTGACCCTTGGGCTCCTGCTCAGCCATCATCTACTGCAGCAAAATCTTCTGTGGATCCTTGGGGACCAACACCTGCGAACAAACCTCTCTCTACTTCTGGTGAGAAATGGTCTCATCCCATATCCATGTTATTTGAGTAATTAAGGTGAAATCGGAATGATTTTCTTGCATTACTTGGTTAAAAGAAGCTCTGGGCTGAACAGTTTGCAGTACTGTAAAATAAATGGGAGTTGTAATAGCTAGCGGCGAAAAGATCTTCAAATGTAATTATTCTGACTTAGAGCTCTGAAGTCTTGTTACTTCTTCATGCTCTGTCCCTTCAACGTTCTTTTATTGGTATGTATGTGTGCCTGCATGCTGAGCACTTAGAACTGCTGCTGCCGTTGAGTTTTTAAATGGGTTTTATCTTTAATTAGACAAGGGCTTAATTTCTGGCAATGAATGATACTATAATTTTACCTTTCATCATGATAAATAGCTATGCAGATGGATGTCTCTGCAGCCGTAGATTGACAGGCTGAGCAGCTCCATGCTCTGAGAAGACTTTTAGAGGTGCAAATGAAGGTTTGTTACTGCAGACTGAGGGTGTGAAAGCTGTCCCTGAGCCCTTGTGCAGCAAGATGCAGAAGGTGCTGATGTAATTGTCTATTCATGCTCTGTAACTAATGCAACCTTGATGAATCTTAATACCTGGTATTTTCATGTTGGCACCGTGGCTAAATGCATCCTAAATACATTTTCTGCTACTCATTCATCTCTCTACATAATAAACAAAGGAGTCTGAGTACTGCAAAAAGTTGCCTAAGCAGCTTTTTACTGGGCAAAGGGCAATAACTGGATCATTATGAGAATAATTCTTTAACCGTGGTGGGTCTTTGTTCTTGATTAGAAATATTATTGTTATACACAATCTTCACTCTTTCTCTTGGGGTTTTGTCTTTTCGTGCTCTTAATGGAGTCAAGTCCATACCTTCGTTTGCTGGAAATGTGTTCAAGGTTAAAACTAAATTAGAAAAACACTTCAACTAATTAAAAAAAACAACCCCACACCAAACTTTTAAAGCTTTTCAGGAGTGTGATTACTGTTCATTTAGGTGTGTTTTTTCTTCCTCCATTTTGAGGTAAGGGTGCGTCCACATTTTGAAAATGTTGTGTTTTTATTTGTTGCAAATTCTGGTGCTTTAGCTAACGGGGCCTTACCATCTCTCCATGGCATAGATAACCTTTTCTATTGCCTTCCTGCTCCTTTTAACCAGAAGCGTAAGTCAAATCGTCACTTAAGTTACAGCAATGAGACATTTGTCTTCTGAAGTGTGTTTTACTTGTGGGCTGATTAACGCACTTTGTAGTTTAGGCTGTAAATTAGTTGCTGTTCTCTTCTTCCATAGCAATAGATGCCTACCTATACATCTGTCTAGTGCAGATAATAAAAACCCCACATGCTAAGGTGTGCCTTACATTGTGATTTAAAAGCTCATTGTTCTGGATTAGTTCGTGAATACTGTGAGAAAGGACAGTTTTCTGCCATTATCCTGGTCCTAAGGGAGAGTAGGAGAACTCAAGCTGAGCTGAACTGCTGTCCCGGAACCTGACAGAGGGGCTTCTTGGTAACGTGAATGGGTTAGAAGTTGCTTTCAGTAGGATCAGGTGCGTGAAGCAACCGAAGATCTGTTAATGACAGGGCTGTTTTGTTGTTTTGAACAGGAAGTACATCTTTTGACCTCTTCAGTAATTTGAATGGTACAGTTAAAGATGATTTTTCTGAATTTGACACACTTCGAACTTCCAAAAAGCCAGGTATGAATCAAATTCTTAGCATGTGGCAATTGGGGTGATGAGTCTCAGCAACAAATGTCTCTATTCTTAAATTTTATTTAAAAAAAAAAAAAAAGAAATTGACTTTCACAAGGGAAAAGATTAAAGCTGGTGATAATGCAGCAGTAAAAGCTTGTTGTTAACATTTTGGCCTGTGCATGAACTTATGGGGAATGGGCCTTTTGCATTGTAAGCCATAGATTTTTCACTCTTTCATTGCATTGACCCAGAAATTTGACTTCTAAATTTACAGTATCCGATGTGTTTGGGGTATGGCTCATGCTCAGAGAGCTAAACGTAACAGCGTTGACTGAATTTCTGAACTGTGTAAATTCTAGTGTGTAACAATAGCAGGAAGATGAGCAAATACACTTCTGTGAATGTTTAAATTTATTTTTTATTTAGTAATTAGTCACTAAAATAAAAACTGCCAGACCTTACCAGATAAGCACTTTGATACTATGTGCTTTCTGGATGGTTCTGCCTGAAGGAATGGTGACCAATTCAAAGCTGGGCTAGGCTTTTTTAAGGCAAAAGAGCAAACCTGAGTGGAATCTAGGTAGGAAGGATGCAGCAGTGGTGGAGCAGGGGCAGGAGCCAAGGCGTCTGAATGTGTTTTCCTTGGAGACTCTCAGGCCCATCTGTCGCAGCAGAGCTGTGAGAATATTCATCAGGGCAAATCAGGTAGCGCCTTCAGTAGAGCACTGCAACTCTTAACTGCAGCTTCTTCATACTCTTCTAAAGAACATTTATCTGCTTGCATGCTATGAGGGTGTAACCTGTACTGAAACATTTAAATCTGACTAATACAAGCATTAGATCTTAAAAACCTTTTCTGTTGTCAGAGACTTCGGGGTTTTCTTCGCTTGACTGTGTAGATTAAAGTTTTGTTTTTTCTCTTTGTATTTCAGCTGAATCAGGTTCCACTTTGCCATCTCAGCATAGCGGTACCACGAGTCCCGATCTCTTTGATTCCCAGCACTCGAGTGTGACATCAGGCAAACAGAGTGCGGCTCGGAAAACCCCTGAGTCTTTTTTGGGCCCCAACGCTGCTTTGGTGAACCTGGATTCGCTGGTGTCTAAGCCACCACAACCTGTTACTTCACTGAATCCATTCTTGGCACCAGGTCTGTTTCTGCACATTCCTTCAGTTTTCTATTTTAGCTTTTCCTTCCTGTAGGAAAACTGCATAACTGGGTTGTACTTGATTTAATGTAGGGGTGGTTTGGGCTTGTTTTTCTTGATTACTTCAGCCAACAGATCGTGACTGAGAGAAGGAGGGTGAGGCATCAGGGCGTACTGCTGGCCCCTGAAAGCACAGAGTTCCTACTCTTGCAGCTGATCTGGCTGAGCTTTGTTCAAGCAATTTTCTTTCCACTTTTGCACTTGCTCTCTCAAAATGATCTGTGTTAGAAGGCGGCTTTGGGTTATTAAAAATGACTGAGCTAAAGCTGATTGACTGTCAGAAGAGGCAAGATGTGAACGTGTGCCACTAGAGAATCCCTTGGGAGGAGAAGAGGTAGTAGATTCTTGTGGAAGCAGGTAGGAATTACCCTTTTGCTTGTGCTTCATCAGGCACAGTAGCATCTTGGACTGAACCAGAGGTCCCAGATAGCAAACTCTGCAGTAGAATTTAGTGAGTTGCTTGTTAGGCTGTCTTTAGGCTGGCACAATAAGCTAGCTTTGATCAAAACACACTCTCAGTGTGTTTTGAAAAAAAATGGACTATTGCAGTTCCTTGTAAATTGGCCTCTGTTAGAAGTGATCCTTAACTTACAGCAGACTTAGATGGTGACAATGAACACGGGGAAGATGTATATATTTTTTAAAAGCTGTTCATCTGCACTCATACGTTCTGTGGTGCTGGTGTGGTGAAATACATTAAAATGCTGTTGCAGTATTTATTTTCTTCACTCTTCCAGTTAAAAAAAAATTAAAATGACAGTTTATTAAACTCCTTGGGTAGGAAAAAAACCCAGTAATTCTGAGCAGCCTTGGCAGTGTTTAGCAAGAGGAAGTCTGTGTATCTGCCATTACCGGTTACTACAAAAAGTTTATAAGGGGTCACTGGGCCATCCAAATAACGCTATACATATACGGTGAAAGGAATTTGTAGTGTTGGCAGCAGTCCAAGGAACCTCAAACGCTGGGAAAGTTATTCTCTGCTTTTTCTAGCACCGCTGTAATTCGGAAACATCTTGTTTACTTTATGAATTCTTGTCAAAACTCAGTGCCAGAAACATGCACGGTTTCTAAACGGAGTTGACTGGATGAGAGCTGGAAGCGAACACACGAGTCTGTGGAAGCCAGATTGCAGTGCAAGGAGCACAGAGAGCCTGCAGTTCTCTTGCGTAATACCAATTTTAAGTAGCATTTTTAAAAAAATAATTAGTAATCTGGATGTCGTGGTTAGGCATGTTCTGGATAACCAAATTTAGAACCTGTCTCTTCTGTGACTAGTATCAGAAATGGAAAGTGTTGATCAGCAAAGGGATGTTTTGTGGCAAGGATAGCTTCAAGGAAGCGGACTGTACTTGTGCACCAGTACAGCCCCAGTTTGCTGAATGGCATCCACACAGGTTCCTCAGGGTGTTTTGGGGTTGGAAGCACGTGGGGATGTACAAAAGGTGTGTTCTTTGACAGAACAGACGATCTCCAAAGCCTCGTGTTTATGGAGGTGCGATCTGTTCCCCTCTTCCCCTTCTTCTCTCAAACCCAGGTGCCGCTACAGCACCGACTCCAATCAACCCCTTCCAAGTGAATCAGCCTCAGCCCCTCACTCTCAACCAGATGAGAGCGAGCCCCGTGATGGGAACCAGCCCTTCTTTCAGTGCTGTGCCACCGATGAGCATGGAGCCAATACCTCTGTCTTCCATGGCCCCCGTGCCCGTGGGGATGGCACCGATACCAGCTATGGGCACTGTGGCCTCCATAACCAGGATGGGCCAGGGGCTGAACATGAGCATTGCAGGATCAATGACCCAACCTCTTCACAGTACAGGAATCCCGCCGTCAGCGTCCCAGCCTACAAATACAACTAACCCTTTTCTCCTATAAAGACCCAATTAAAGGAACTTTTTCTTTTCATAGTGTTTCCAGGCTGAAGTCTTTACAGCGAAATGAACGTGGCCTGTGTGGACTGAACGGTGTGTAAGAGACTTGGAAGTAGATTTGCAGTTTACAGTTATGATCTTTGAAGAGTTGTCTCTACTTACCAGTTAATCTAAATCTAGTCTTTGCTACAGATGGTACCTTACTTTGGCTTGTTGAGCATTATGTGAAATGTTCAGACTTTTCACCAAAGTTAGATTCTGCCCATTTTGTTACTTTGTTAATCATTTCAATACACTTTCTAGGGAGAACCTGCCATTTTAAAACTCCGTTGGCTATTTTGTAGATGTCAGATGATGTGCTGGATCCTGAAATTACTATTTACCTGCATCTGTCACTTCCTATTACCCATATGATAGACCTGAGATTCAGAGTGCTAGTGAATGTTTTGCACATAACTATACACAGTTCTAGACTGTTGGTTCACCCATAGTCCTTACTCTTAGAAGAGAACGATTCGGAGGGCCCAGGTGGCTGGTTTTTATGCATTAAACATTGCAACGCAAAAATCGCACTGCTTTCCTATCAGAGGTTTGACTGAGAAAGCAAGCTTGTCTCGAAAGGAAAATGAGAAAAAACAAAAAAAACAACAAAAAAACCACCCCAAGAACATTCTCAAGTTGTCGAGTATAACGTGTGCTGTTGTATGCGGTGTTGAATTTGTACACTACTCCGAGGACTCCCGAGGAACTCTCTGTGAGTGGCATGCTGCACTCCTGCTGAGTGAGTGTCCTGCTCTGTGCTTGTCCAGTACCAGCTTCGTTCGGAAGTTATCATGTGTATTTTGTTTTTTTATTTGACTTACGATGTGAGTTGAAAGAAAGAAAGAAAACAAACAAACAAAAGAAATACAGCGGGACAACTTTGAATTCAGTTTCACTGGGGCAAGCTTTAAAACTAATTCAGGCTTAACCTTGCTATATGCAGTTACTCTTGTATACTTTTGCACATATTTTGTTTAGTACAGTTTCATATTTGAGTTTGCAGAGTTACCTAATAGTCCTTTTTTTGCTAATTTTTATAATGTGGTTCTTATTTAACTGTCTGGTTTTGATAGATTTATCAAGTCTGGCTGAAAAATTAAGATATTGGCAAATGTCATTTCTATGGTTTTAATGCCCTCTTATTTATGGTTTTAGCTCTTTGTTTCTGTAAAGAGAGTTTAAAAGGGAAGATTAACACTAAAATATTTACTTTTAAATGAAGTATTCATAATGCAAATCAAAACAAATTCTCGTGACTAATTATTTTTAGATGAATTGAATTTGAGCGTAACATGATTTAAGACTACATTAAAAAGAAAAAACACTAAAGTCGCCTTTCCCTTGATTTGTTCCCGTTTTCCGATTACCAAAACGGACAGAGTTTAGCCTTTATGAAGATCAGAAGAGAGGCTGGTTTTTTTTCTTGTAATACTTCTTGAGATGTTAAAAATTCTAATGTACAAACACGACGCATTAATTTTATTGACTAATTTTTTTCTTAACGAAAGGTGCACTCCATATTAATAACCGGTTCCATTTACACCGTATTAATTGTAAGCTGAACTATACATTTTTTTTTTTTAACTTGCATGTCTGGACTCCTCGGCACTAAAAAAAAAACCACGCTCAGGTTTCTGGTGGAGACCTGGCCCTTCTCAAAGACGGCGACGTTTCCCAGCTCTGCTTTGGCGAAAGGGATGTCCCAGTGCTTGCTACTGCCTTGAGGGCATCTCTTGGAATGAACTGATGCATCTTGGTGGCCTTTCCCTAATTAGGAGGGGGTAAAAAAAAACAAAAAAACAAACAAAAAACACAACAAAAAAACAAACTACAAAACAAAGAAGCTGAAAGAAATTGCCAGAGTTTTGTGTGTTGTGGGTGTCATGATGCTGTGTGGGGCTGTGCCGGTCTTGGGTCCTGTGCCGCGGGGAAAGAGGGGCTGGCTGACGTGGAAGGGACTGGGTTATATCTTTTGGGTGAGTAGGGGAGGCTGAGAGACTATCAAATCTAGGGTACAATCACAGATTTTAGCTGTGTAGGTCAGTGTAGCTCTATTAGTGTATGGAATGCTAAATGTGTGGATGTTTCTATGCAGATTGTTCTATCCTCTTGAATACTGTTGAATTTGCAAGTAGGATTCGGAATATTCATCTGCTCTTGTTTATATAGGAGGAAAGAGAATTACTGTCCACACCCAGTATGTCTTTAAAAAACAAAACAAAACAAAAAAACCATTCATGTTGCCTTTCAGAGTAAGGAAAAATACTTTACTTTTTTGTTGTTGTTGAAGTTATTGAAAAGTGTAGACCAGGAAGGGTGTGATTCTTGCAGATGGGGGAGGGTGGGGAGGGTGGGGGAAGCGCTTTCCAATTGATCTGTGGCAAGATTTTATCCGTCATTATTTTTCCAATTTAGTTTTATAAACAGTGGAATTGAAGTCACTCGATGTTTTTTCCCTTAGTCTATCACCTGAATGCATTTGCAACAGTGAGATGGGGCACTGTCTATTCAGCCAAAAAAAAGTTCTAACGGCGTTAAACACTAGGTAACTGTTTCTGGAAGCAAGATGGGGGTATTTAAATTGATGAAGTCATCTACGGTTCAGAGCCATGATCTGTCACCATGAATTTGCTAACAATGTGCTGTGGGTCTGGTAGGGAGCCCTCGCTTAATGAAACTGCTGAATGGCAAATTGTTGCTTTTTACCAAGCCACTTCTGTAAGAGCTGTATTCCTTTTACATTTTATATATATATATAGATATATATAGATATGTATAGACATATATCGCACAATAAGCCATGAAAAGGCACGCTGAAGAGTGCTCAGCCCAGACTCTGGTGCTGTAAAGCATTAGGCTGAGGATGGACCGTGCCGAGATTCCCAGCCTGATGGGGGAGGGGGGGGGGTTGTGGTAGGAGCCGAGTTCAAGGGAAAAAGCAGCTGGTTTGGTAAATCCTGGGTTCTGGAGGATTCTCGGTTCTTGGGCTGGAGACGTGCCCATCCCTCCAGTGCCCTGTGGCGTGGGGTGCTGTACCAGTGACACCGGTGGGTGCTGTGTCTCGCCAGGTGAAGCTTCAGTTGTGCCCAGAATGGTAGTAAATCTCTCTTTTTTTTTTTTTTCTTCTTCTTTTTTTTTTTTGGCGATAATTTAACTGCTCTCCAGAATAATTCTTCCTCCCTCCTCACCCTCCTGCTGCTTTTTTGCATGGAGGACGTGTGCGTATCCCATCACATCTGCTCTGGCGTATTTCTCCAAATGCATTTCCCTTCTTCCCCTTCTTTTCCTCACTTGCGAATATTCAAAGTGCTTTTGATTTTTAAAATGTTAGTATCCCAAAATAGCCTTACTGGTCAAATTGACCAAAGATAAAGTGTTAAATATTTTGTAAAAAAAAAAAACAAAAAACTCTTGGCATAATTTTAAACCCAAAATAAGCTCAGTTATTTATTCAGTTTTATACTATATAGAAACTAAACTACATTGAGGGGATAGGGAAGGAAAACCATGGTGGGTTGTGGTGTTTACAGTCTTTTTGAAGTCCCGTAGCTAAGACACAACTATTGTTATCCATCTTCCCTTTTGCTGTTACAGTTTCTAATGTGTACTGTATGTATTAATATTGCACAAATTGTGGAGAAATATATGGTTTATTTTTCACAGCAGAATCTCACAAGACTCACTTCCTTTACAAGTGTTACAATTTAAATATTTACCAAACTGTTTTCATAATACTGGGAGCCGGCTGCTTTTTATGAATTTGTGCTGACTATTGACATTATTTACTGTATAAATAATTTATCATTTGTACTATTGTATCATAATGTCTGTATCTTTGTGTCATTTTTCCCGAGCGATGTCACAAATGTGATATTTAATAATGCCATCAGAACAGTGGAAAGACAAGGGGTTTGTAGGTGACTGGTCAGAATTAAAATTGTATTGCTTATATTCCAGCCGTGTTGCTTTTTCGAGACTCTGCGTAGTGTTTATAATCCCATTGGAAAAAAAAAACCCAAAAAACAAAAAACCAAACCTGTTGCTGCCATGTTCGGGTTCATTTTCCAGAAAGTTGATGGATTGGTTGAGATAACTTAAGGTTTGTGCTCCAAGTCGTAGGTGCCAGGAGGAATCTCACCGTCAGTGAGAGTTAATGCTTCTTGTACGTTGTCAATGTGATTTCTTCCACGCGTTCGTCGCTTTCCTGGGGCAGGCCTGCTCTTGCCATGAGACAGGAGGGTTTCTTATAGATCACTTAAATCAGAATCAGTTGAGACCTTACTAACTCAATAAAAATGAAGACTTGTTGTGTTGCAGGTGACTGAATTGCTTCTTTCAACCACGTTACCCTTTAAACGGCGCTTTTGGAGGGATGGTTGAGTGCTGTCTCGGTGGAGGCTTCCGTATTTATGTCAAGACAGAGGTCTGGGGAAGGTGTGACTTCCAAAGCCATGGAATGAGGGTTGGGGAACTGTGAGAAAATGGATTTTGGGAGTCCTCACTTCCCATTTTTGCCGTAGTTCAGCCTCGCCCTTCCCGAGGTCTTGGCTCTGTCCCATGGATGGAGTGGCCTTGCAGTGGGGGAGCAGCCAGCCTGCCTCCAGCTGGGAACTGATTTCAGCTTCTAATTCTGGATGGTTTAAATTGAAGGGTACTTCATTAGCGGGCTATTTCGAGAGCCTGCCTCTCCACAGCCCTTCCAGGTTTCCTGTAGTTATGGTTTGCTGCCAATCAGACTGATCACTAATCAAATACTTAATTTCTTAATGCTGAGACTGCAGTGGTGCTGGAGACCTGACTGTTGGAAAGGCGGCCCGGGGGGGGAAGGTGTCTGTTTGGTTTCAGGCCTGTGATGCAGAGCTCTGTGGTGGTGCCTCCCTCACACCCCGGTGTCTGTGCTGCCTCCGGTCAGGTCTTCACTTCATTTGGCTTCTGTGTTTGGGCTGATAAGGAAAAGAGGAAAAACCTCCTTTGCCAGGGGTGGCTGCTCTGGTACCCATTTCTTTTTGTGCCCCTCCTTTTCACAGGAGGATGTTCTCCCCCCATCCCGTGCAGGAGGGCTCTTCTGTGTGTCTGTCCATTGCTCCCCTACCTGGGCTCTCCTTCTGGGATCAATTCTTCACTGTTTTACTCCGGCTTCTCAAAATTGCACCTATTAAAATAAAGCTGCTCGCTACAGAAAATATTTAGGAAGGGCTCAAAGTGGAAAACTTTGTGATGACTCTCTCATACTTGTAAAAAAGGAGGTGTAAGCTGCTGGGTGTTGCAAGGGGGCCTGAGCTGATAAAGCCTCTTGTGAGAGACCTGGCTGTGGCTGAGCCTTCCTCTGACCTTGGGCAGCTGCTCTGCCCCGGCCCGGGCTTCCTCTTCCTCTTCTGTGAAGCGAGGTGGTATTTTGCCTGCTCTTGGGGAGGAAAAGGGCTGTCTGGATAAAGTATTATCTAGAGGCTTGCCCTCATCCGCCCCGGTGTTGCCAGAGTATTTTTGCTGAATGTGTACATTGCTGTTTCCTCGTGTTCGTCCTGGGCCGAGTGGTGCAACTCCTGCTCTCCTGCTCCTCTCCGTTGACCTGCAGGAGAAGAGTCTGGGCCAGCTCCTGTGCTGCCTTGGGCCACATTCTTGCCAGTGGTGTTTCGGAGAACCAGCGTGATTCATATGGCCCCTCACGTTAAAAACTTCTGCTTTTTCAAGGTTAGCTGCCATCTGCCTTCCAGGTAATCTCCTCCCTGTCCTGGGACACAAGCGAACACCGATTTCATAAAGACACAACAAGTTTTGGGGCTTAGGATTATCAACTATCAGGATTATCAAGAGCCTGGTGTTGTACACGGTGGTAGCAACCCTGTCTCTGCAACCCTGTCTCTTTGTGTTTTGCTGTCAATCGATTGTACCCTCTAATTATTGGAGACTTGGGGTTTCAGTGAATTCCCTTTGGTGCTTCAGACGTCCCGGCCGATTACCCATTAGGGCGGTTAATTGGCAGCGGTCTGGTGATCAATGAGGGGTTGGCGTCCTACCAGTGTAACACAACCCAGCTGTTTGCAGAGGTTAAAATTGTAAACGATGAATGGGGGAGCGTGGTGGTGCCCTGGGGAGAGATGGTGTGTCCTTTGGCTTCGCTGGGGGGAGCAAAGTGAGTTGGGGACCCTCGGGGACCCGGTAAATATCTCATTGAAGAGATGAGGGGAAAATCTGTCCTAGGATTGCTGGTGCAAACTGGGTTCATAAGTAAACTGGTGGCCAGCAGAAGTGTTAGCTGTGATGTGCGTTGAAACTCTGGTCGAAAATGCTTTTAAAAGTACAAAATGTTTTTAAAGCACCTGGGCATCTTCATGGCCAGCAGACAGCACAGGCACCCCCTAACACACCCGTGTGCGGAGGGACGAAGGCTGCTGGGGGTGGATGAAATGCTGGGGGTGGAGGGAGCGGGTATTAAAAAGGTCATCTGTGCGTGTTCAGCAAAGCTAAAAGCAGCCTGGACAGTGTTACCTGGTCTGTTCTTGTGTCATTCGTTGAGCAACTGTGTTCCCCTTCTCAGGTGAAGGAAAATCAATGACGTTTCAAATGGCTGGAATAAAGCAGTAGTCACGGTGGAGTTTGTCTTCTCAGCTCCCTCCCCTGTTGTTGCCTGATGTGAACTCTCAGCAGGATGTCGGTGCCACCAGCGCTGCGGCTTGAAAGCTTGAAGATGCTCTGGGAGATCCTCACAAGTAGGTGCAGCATCATCGTTTTTGAGCTCTGTTTAAAAACTGGGCACTGGAGCTGCTCTAGATCAGACCAGAGCTCCATCTGGCCCAGGTTCTGCTGCTTTGCTGGTAGCAAAGACCTTCCTGGAGCAAAGACATTGCGTTTATGGTCACAGATAGAGCTGCCCAATAACCCCTTTGTGAAACCACGTACTCTCCTGGCTTCCATGAGAGCCTGTGGGATCACACTGCATAGCTGAGATAGGCAGGGGGTGGAGGAGAACTTCATGCCCAGCTGCTGGAGCAGATGGAGGCGAGGGCTGAATGCCCTCCGTGGGATGGTGACTCAGTGTGGACTTGTCCCACCAGCCACATTGTCACTAACCCATGTGGGATTGCCTCTAGTGCTGTGGCTGAACCACCTCTCCTAATTTCTAAGGTGGAAAATCATTAGACACCTTCCCTGTGCCACACCAGGGTGGGAACATGGAATCTGTGACAATAGGGCGATGAGGTCCATGTTCTTCTTGAGGGGTTTTTTGGCCGGAGAATGAAATTTGTTGGTTTAACCAAGCTGAAGGGAGCTGGTTCTGCTTTGGTATAACAGCACATACAGGAGGCTGTGGGCTGGCTGGGGTTGTGTTGGGTGACGGCGGTGGGGGGGTTTTATTTTTTGCTTTTTTAATGTCTTCATTAGCAAGTCTGGCTTTAAATGTAGTGATATTCTCCGAGGTGAATTTGAGCACTTAAATATCTTGGCCTGAATAGAGGTATAAAAATAGAAGCCTACAGCAGTTAGATGCTTCTGCTGATCTTCCCTCTGAAGGACAAGAGACTGAATTGCTTGCACCCCATCCTCAGAGCGGGCACCCTCCTTCTCTGCAGCCTCCCTCCTGGGGGCTCAGGGCTGGTTTTGGTGGCCAAAGGATGGTTCTAACAACATTTGTGCCCTGAAGATGGCCAGGAACTCAACTTATCTCAAGCCTAGCCCTCATTAGCTGCTCCACAGACTCTGTTCTGCTGCAGTGGAAGGTGCTGGGTGCTCTCTGCAGGCTGCTGGGAGCTGCAGTTTTGTGTTGTTTTGTGGGTTTTTTTTTTTCTTGCTCTCCAAATGTAGAGGTTGTTCTGGGTGCTGTGAGTGCCTCAGCTCCTGGGGTCTAAGCTCACTCATGTCTTGCCTCCCAGAGGACTCCTCAGATGATGGAAAAAATCTCAGGGGTCCTCTCTGCAGTGCACACCCTGTGGGTGAACGGGCAGAGGAGGAAAGGGGCTGAGCATCCCCTGCAGGGGTGCAGGACAGGCCGCCTTGATGTCTCTGCTGTGTTCCTGCTTGGGGGTCCTGTGTCCAGGACCACGGATCCAGGGTGTTTAGCCCCCGCCATCTCTGCAGGTAGTGGGTCCTGGCATGATGCTCCAGTGGCCTTGGCAGACATGGGTCATCCTGGGGGTGTGATGGGATGAAATGCTGCCAGTGACGAGCCCAGGAAGAGCTGGACCTGAAGCTCAAATTTTCTTCAAATCTGCCTCTTCTGTGCTTTTTGGGTTTGGTTTGTTTTTTTTTTTTTTCAAGCCCAGGAAGAGTTGGACCTGAAGCTCAAATTTTCTTCAAATTTGTCTCTTCTGTGCTTTTTTGGATTTGTTTTGTTTGGGTTTTTTTTCCCCTTTGGAGTATTTCACAGGAGGGTTCTGCTCCTAATCTTCGGAGTATTTCACAGGAGGGTTCTGCTCCTAAAGTGACATGGCTGCTGTGGAGCAGTTGCTGTCGGCTTTAGTCCATCTGCAAGACTCTCAGTTTCAGCTGGAGAGAACTTCTATCTGCTGCAGTCCTGATGTTGTACAACAGCCTCACTCGTCTCGGGACGGAGATGGTCTCTCGAGCACTCACTGAATCAGATTCCTGGCTCGGTCCTGCTCCCTGAGAGGCCACTGGGGTGGCTCGTGGCCCCGGGCAGCGTTTGCCCCGTGCTCTTGGGACAAGGGGCAGTGGAAGGGCACCTGGCACCGTTGCATTGAGTGACTTTTCAAGTAGGAACAGGAAAACCTTGGGTGTCCTTGATGCAATCTCGTTAGCTAGCTGTTATTAGCAACCTCCAACATCTTCCTAGAGGTTGAAAACTGCCACGAGAGGGCAGGAGCTGACGCTGCAGTTCCTAGTTTTGGTAGAAAGGGCTTGCAAATATCAGTTCCTAAAAACTATCCAAATGCTTTTCTGTTTCCTGGAGGGTTTCATTCCCAAGCTGCTGTTCAGTCCCTGCCTTGGGCTGTCTCCCTCCCAGGGTGGCTTCTATGGTGATGGCAGGAAAACCCTCCCATGAAGTGAGCCTGGTCCTGTTCCTCCAGAGTGGAGAAGGGTTTCTGCAAAGTCCTCAGCTATCTCACAGACTTCATTCCACCTCTGGTGGGTCTCTGTTTTGACCGCCTCGAAGCCTCATCCGGTGTCAAGACGCATGTTCTGAATAAAGATTTCTTTTTTTCCCTGCCCATGTTGGCTGAGGGAGGTTAATGGCCAATTTCACTGTGTGGGGGAGACTTCAGGGGAACAGGACAGGAACTGCAGCACCAGCCTAGAGCCCCGTGCCACTGTCTGTGCTGCCGGGGCTCGGGGGCTTCAGTCGGGTTCTGAGTCAAAGGGAGAAGGATTAACCTGTAACGGGGCAGGGTGGTTACAGCCGCCTGGAGAGTGGGCGAGAGGAAATTATTTTGAGCCTCCGCTGGGTTTTTCTGGGTTTTGGCTGTTGTTGAAGCCTGGGTGGTTTTTAAGCTTTGACATTAACAGCCAGGAACACTTATGGGTCATAAATCCCATCCTCATTGATGTCACCTGGTCTTGCTGACTCTCCACCACTCCTGAACACTGCAGACTTACACCAGGGACAGATTTCCAGAAAATTCCAAGGGCAGCAGCAAATCCATCTCTGGGAGAGGAGCATGTTTCTGAGAGACATCAACAGTGGCTTCTTGCAACAAAGGAACAGCATCAAACTCGGGAAACACCCGTCGAAAACATCCCCCCACGCGTGTCCTGTGTGAGGAGCAAACTTTGCCAGACCGAAAATGTCCCGTCGGGAAGTGCTCACGAACTAAACGTATTTTTAAGGCCTTGAAGAAGGTGTGGGGAGGTTGTTAACGTGCTCAAGACACTGAGGAGTCAAAAAAACCACCCCAAAAAACCCAACCAACCCCTGAGAAAATAGGCAAAAAGCCCTAATACCACAGGCAGCAGCATGGGATCTGCTTAGTCACGTGTCATAAATACTGATTTAGGGAGTTTGGGGGGTGTGTGTATTTTTCTAAACCCCATTTTTTCACTGTGTTTTTTTTTTTTTTTTTCTTCTGAGGGTCCCTGCAGCTTGGCTGCGAGCATGTGGGTGTGGGTTCTGATGGCTCTCGGTGTGGCCAGGCCTCCAAGGACTTTTTTGAAAGTGGAGCAAGTGAGGAGATGGGTGGTGGTGGTGCCTGTGGATAAAATCCCTGCACCCCTGGGGGCACCAGCTCCGGGCTCTGACGGTGTTTGACAGGTTTCTCACAAGCAGAGTCTCTGCCGAGCAGTTTTGCTCTAATCAGAACGGTGCAGGTAACTGTGCTCAAGGGAAAAATGGTATTTAAGCCGTAGTAGGTTTAATGTTTGCCTTCCAAGTGTTTCAAACAGATATTTATCCTGCTGCCGTAGCTAACTGCCTCCCAAACGCTTCTGAAAAGGAAGCAGAATTCCTTGCATCCCCTCTGAGCCAACAGGAAATACTAATTTGGATTCCAACATTAACTCAGTTCAGAGATTACGACAGTGGCTGAAAAAAAACTACTGGAGGAACTTACTGGAAGTGCAAAACCAACAAAAACAAGATAGGAAAAAAGTAAAAGATGACAAATTATCTGTAAACGTGTTTGGAAAAGTATTTATAAATGGTATAGAAGATGCCAATGCTCACAGCAAAATTACAGTGATCACGTTATCTTTTCAGAAATTAATTCAGTCCCACTGCTCGGTAAGAAACAATAACTACCAATAACTACCAATAATAACCGGGTGTTTTGTCTGTTATTTCTTGTGTTTCTACAGTTTCAAGGTCCCTGGAGTTGGCTCACAGGGTGGTATCAGGTGAAGTCGTTCTCACAGTCATCTCTTGGTATTTGCAAACACAAGGGATTACACGCCCAAATTTAAATACGAAAATGACCAAGCAATTAGTCAGATACCATTGTAGCACACACTTCTTTCTCTTTTGTACCTGTAAGAATAGCAGATCCGGGATGATTTAGGGCTTAGAAATGCCCATTCTGGCACAAACAAATAAAACCCCTGGCAGTAGAAATACAAATAAATATATTTAGAAAACTGGGTTTATTTGGCCTAAAAGAAAAGTGCTAGCATTAGTTTAGAGGTGGATTTGGTGAAATAATTTCAGTTTCCAATTTCTACCACAGTAGTAAAAAGAATTGAGTTTGCAATGATTTTAAACACAGGAAAACTGCTACAACTATAAACTTCCCTATTCTTTAAGTATATAAAGAATGTACAAAAGGCTGTAATAAAAAATACTTTGTTACAGGTCTTAGGATAGCCTGATATGACTCATAAAAATGCTATATTTTATGTGATTACATTAATTTATATAATACTTAAACCGGTGTGATTACTGAAATAATTATACTTGGGTAATTATTCCAAAGCCTCGTGGACTTGTGTTTCTTTTGGAATAATGGTCTCAAGTGAAATTTTCTCAGTTTAGTCAGACACACATTTCCCTTTGCCACAAAAGGCCTCAAAGTGCTTAACTTCTCTGTGAGCCTTTAAGCATCCCCTGCCTGGGCTCAATATTTATGAATCCCTTCTGGCACCAGGGAAGGGTTCTCCATGTCGCTGGAGCTCACTTCATAGCCCAACTTCTTCATATCTTTGGTCATTACGTTGAAGGAAATGGTCACGAAGCCTTGAGATCGCACCCTCGTTACTGGAAGAAAGAAGACATGAATAAAACTGGTTAATGGAGGTTTTTGAATGGTTGCTGAACTCTTCACATATCCAGGTAGGACTCTTCTCAGCAGGAATAACTAGTCTTGTTTTTTAACAGAAGATGGATGGCCAAGCCGTGGCCCTGTTGGGTTACAGTCAGGACCTCCCAGGGACTTACCTTCTCTTCCTTCTCCCTGTGCTACCACTCTGGGGTCAGTAAATTCTGGGCGTCTCCCCGTGAACCAGCTTGGAGAAGAAAACAGAAAAGAATTAATTGGATACATTTGCTAGTGTTTGGATTTGATACAGTTCATTACATGCATGTTAAAAAATCCAAGGGGGGTTTAATGAGGGTCCCAGCTTCTGTTTGCAGTAGAGGGTTTTTGAAGACTGATTTGCTTTATTGCTGATCTACTTTGATCAACAATAAGTTTTGTCTTTCTAAGGAAAAAAAAGAAACCAGTTTCATACAGATTATGTTAAATCTAAGTTACTTCTGGTCTAGACAGAATTTTTCTACGGCAAAGATGTTTTTGAAACTGATTCAACTCTTGATTACCCAGAATAATCCCAGATAGAACTGGGAATTGTATTTCCATGTTCTGCCTTTGTTTTCCAGGTTGCACTAATGAGGCTATCCTTCAAGAAAAGCCCTGAGCTGCAGTAAGATTTAGGGATGGACGGTAGCACACCTCCTTGGAGACCAGTGACAGCTAACATGCTCTGTAAAATGTGACTAAGAACAAGAAGGACTTCTTTAAAAAAGGTATTTAATTATTACCTTGTAAACTTCTGCAGCATAGATGTGGACTCTGGAACAAACATAGCGATGGTTCTTGTATGTCTAAAACGAACAAGAGAACTTAGGAACTTAAGAAACAATAGTAACTAGAAAAAAAATCTGTGTTTCAGTTCCGAACAACAGGTTGTGACCTCACCTTCCCGGTGTAAAGGGAACATGAACAGCTCCATAACCTCTGACCACATCGTTGCCAAAGAAGTCAGGTCCGTAGACGCTCACTACAATCTGTGGCCCTGCAAAGGAAGGGGGTGTGAGAGGGGTGCCTGCTCTGCAAGATGGATCCCACCCCTCCCAGCACTCACAGCCAAAGGGGTTAGTGCTCTTGAAGGTAATGTCGATGGGAAAGTTCCAGACGAGCGTGCTGGGCGAGACGTCGCTCTTGGAGGTGATCTGGGAGATGCCCTCCTCCAGGCCCTGTGGGGAGAACGTGGTGTGAGGCAGGGGCCTGCACTAAGCCCATTTTAGGCGGGCTGCCGGTGGGCCTGGCAGGCAGGCAGGGTTTCAGGGGTGCACAATGGGGTCTTACCGCTGTGGGAACCCAGTCTTGGCCGTAGACGAAGCAGAACTTGCAGTAGAGATCGTCAAATCCCGGGAACTGCGGGGGAGAGAGGCTGTGATGGCGGGGAGTTACCGGGACTGGGGGCCAACCCAAGTCACCGGGCTGAGGCCCAGCCCGCCCTACCGGCGCCCGGGCGGAGACAGGGCCGCGTTACCGGGGCCGCGCTGCTGAGGCCCAGGCTGGGCTGTGTCGCGGGGGATCGGGCTCCCTGCTCCTCAGGGGGCCGGCGGGACCTCCCCACCCATGGCGGCCCGCTCACCTGCCCGCTCTCGATCTGCCCGTTGACCGCCACCAAGAAGACGCTGGGGCTGCCGGCGGCCGCCATGGCTCCGGGTGCGGCCCTCCCCGTTGCCAGGGGCCGCGCTCAGGCCGTTGCCATGGCTACGGACGGCGCGGCGGCGGGGACACACTTCCTCGGCCGAACGGCGCTTCGCGGAGCGCCCCCCCCGCCTCCCAAAAAACGGGCGGATCGCCCCAGAAGGCGGGCAGGCACCCCCAAAACGTGAGTAGCTCCCCCCCAAGGACCAGCCGTGTCCCCCCTATGCCCCGCAGCCTGGCTCAGCAGCCCCTTCACCCCCATGGCTGCCCCACCAGGCCTGAGGGGCTGGGGCTGAGGCCCACCGCCCGCTCTCCTCTGCTATTCTTCATACCTCCTCGTGTTTTGAACTTTCTGGATTTTTTGCTTTTTAAATATTAATCTATATTACCCCCACTAAGCGATTTTTAAATCGTAGCCGGGGGCTGATGGCAGGCACCAAGGACATGGCCACTAGATGTTGCTGCTGGCTGGGCTGAAGCGGCTCCCTCCGCTCTGAGCAAGGACCAGAGCCATGAGGTGCTTTCCAGGGAGGAAAAGCATTTGGGACACTTTTGGGGTCCCTGGAGGGTTGCCCTCCCGAGCCAGGCTGGTGTGAGGAGGGGGGAAGGCGGTGGGGTTGTTAGTGTCCTGCAGCAAGGCAATTATTGCCCCGGCCTTACAGGAGCAAGCCCTGACGCCATGACGCTGTTGTCTGGCACATCTAGTGGGAAGGGGAGGAGATGGGATTGTGCTGTTTTAATTAGCCGCTCTAATTAAAAGGAGCGGGGTGAATTTTGCCTGTAAACAAGGCAGACAAGTGTGCTGAGTCTTCGCAGAGCTAGAACCGCTGAAATCTGCTGACCAGGTCATAGAATCATAGAATGGTTTAGGTTGGAAGGGACCTTAAAGACCATCAAGTTCCAACCCCCTGCCCTGGGCAGGGACACCTCCCACCAAATCAGGTTGCTCCAAGCCCCATCTCGCCTGGCCTTGAACACCTCCAGGGATGGGGCATCCACAACTTCCCTGGGTAACCTGTTCCAGTGTCTCACCACCCTCAGTGAGGGTCTTGCAGCCTTACTGTTTCCCTGCAGAGACCATGATGGGACAGCGCTGGCCCATGGAAGCTTCACAGCCCACACATGTGGTGGCTCGGCCACCATCTGCTGCGGATCATCTCTTCATCTCCTTCCTGCAGCTTGGACAATGCTCCCCTTGTTGAGAACGATCCAAAGGGCATTTCATTGCCTCCAGGTCCTCTGGGGAAGGATGGAATGAAGCCCCATCTCAGAGCCTGTTTGGGTTTCCTGTGCTGTGAGCGTAACAGGTCAGAGACCTTTCACAAATGGGCTGAGCAGAGATGCAAACTAGGATGGCTGGGACAACGCCTCCGTCCTTGTCCTAATCAGCTAGGTCCATTTTTTTCTCCCTTCTGGCAGACCTGGAGGAGATGGCTTTGCTCTCTACAGTGCCACGCTGTGGACTCTTCATTGCAGGTGTCTTTCCTCAAGGCAAAGGGACACCCCAGGATGTTGCCTGTTCTGTCGAAAGGGGTGGTGTGGTTTATATTGGACTGAAAATCAACTACCATTACACTTTACAAATACCTTCCATGTTCCAATAGACACGTTCTCTGTCAATATCTATTTTAACTTGATTTTTCAGGTTTTATTTGTTCGTTTTTTGTTGTGGGTTTGTTTTTTTTTTTGTTTGTTTTGTTTTTTTTAACATTCAGCAAACAAATTTGGCCAAGAGAAGAATGGGAGAAAAGCAGGAGGGATGGGAGGGATTGGCTGAAATTTTATCCTTTCTCCCCAGCCCCTCAGAAATGCTTCAGAGAAACTAATTCATTTGAACTGAAAATTATCAGGGGGGGAGAAATAAAACAGTTCTCGACCAGCTGTCCGATGCAGCTAGCGAGGCTGTTTAATTAACACTTTTCTTGGCTACCAGCTACCTCAGAGCTAGCTAAGAGCCAAATTAAGGATTATTTTTTTTTTTCTTGCCTGGCAAGTAATATACAGCTGCTGGAGGAGTTAATATCAGCACTGGGAGACCTTCCCCATGACAGAGAGAAGGCAGCAGGGTTATTCAGCAGCTATGAGTCATCTGTACTTGCTTGTGGAAGGACTCTGTCCCCTCCCAATCATAGCAAGACCTTTTTTTCTTTCCTGCCTAGCATGCCAGTCTTGTTCTAATTAGCTGCATTTTTAATCTTTGTGAGTAGAATGAAATCCCAAGCAAGGAAGCAGTTTTACCCTGCTGGAAAACTTAATTAATGATCCATCAGAGAGTTTGATTTCCAAGCATAATGAAAACCTGTGGATCACGGCAACTCCACGGGTGTTACTTAACAACGTTGCTGTTTCTCTTGGCCATGTAAAAGGTTCACCTTTTCTCTTGGGCTTGCCCTGATCCTGTGATATGCGAAGGGACTACTGGGAAGCCTCCATGGGGATTTTGGGGCCATAGCTGTCCTCGCGGGGAGGAAGGGCACTCGCCTGCTGCTCTCTGACTTTTATCATCTCTTGCAGATGCTGTGCCCATGTCGGGTGCCAGCTCCAGAAGGATGATTCCTGCTCTCGCAAGCGCACTGGTATCATTTTAGCACTGATCTCTGTGCACAAGGCATGTGAAACAGTGAAGGGAATTATGTTTTCTTACTTCCCAGAAAGAGCAAGGGGCTGGAAAAATCCAAATTTCTTGGAGCTTTGTCAATAAGAGCTTCTGAATGAAGCCGATGTACCTTGACCTTGCTGTTGGAGTCGAGCAGGTTCCTGGGGAGATGGGCTCCCGGGGAGGCTGGAGCATGGTGCTCCTCTTGGAGGTGTTTTGTGCCGTTGCCGTCTGTTTCCATAGGGATTGTCTCTGCTCTTCTGTGGGTGAGGGCTGTGCTCGCCTTCGGGACTGGGGGAAGCAGATGGAAGCTCTCCTGGTCCTGGGAGAAGCTGTGGCAGTGACCCCATGATGGAGGGCAGTAGAGCTGGTGCTGTATATCTCCTACCGTGCTTGCTGCCCATCACCTGGGCTCCTGCAGCATAATTACAATAGCAGTAGTAGAGCCTTTGATGTGAGTGGCAGGTCCAGGCACTGCTGCTCGCAGTGGCCTCAGATGGAAAGTGCTTCAAAGTCCTGTGCTGCAGGGAGATACCCAGAAAGCAGGTACTTTGTCACGGTTACATTCTCGAGTATGATTAAACCAGCCCCGGGGCTGATTCATTGCTTCCAGCAGGCGCTCGGGGAAGGTGGGTGAGAGAGAAACGACAATACAGTGGCACAGCAGAAAAGTTTATTTTTAATCCCAAATATTTACGATCAACACCTGCTAAATGGCCAGTGAAATACATTTTATGGTGTCATTAATCTGCAATAAACCGGTTTTTATTTTTAGACTGTTTGCACAACGTTGCCAGCCTGACTCATCCCTGCCTGCGTTTTATCTCTGCGAGGAGGCTGCAGAGAGCTTCCCTGCCCTTTGTCTTAACAGCCTTTTGCTTCTGTTCTCAGAGCTCTCCCCACCTGCTGCTCAAATCAAACGGCACAGAAGGAGGATACTCTCACCAAACCGCGTATCAGAGGAGGATACTCTTGCTGTATGTTTATCCAGGATTTATTCTGGTGGGAAGGGGATTGGGTGCAGACAGGTGGGGGCCAACTTCTCTGTTATGTGTCTGAACGCTGCGAGCCGGAGGGAAAATGAAGCCCAAGGGGTTGTGGCTGCACCAGGAGGGTCCCTGTCACCCTGGGCACAGCAGGGAGGTGGCTTTGCCAGGACAGGGCCACGCTTTGTAACCCCAGCCAGGTATGAACCCAAGGAGACTGGCTCCATCCTCAGCTCAAGCTTCTTTTACCCCTATCCCTCCACCCCAGAGCTGAAAAGCAGGGCAAAAAGCCAGAGGAAACATTTCAATGTTCAGTATTCTGCTCCCCCTCGTTACGCTGGGTAATTTAGCAGGTTGGGGGCTGGCTCTGAGACCCCCCCTGCCCGTGTGGCCACCAGTCCTGTGCCAGGCAGAGCACCGCTGGGAACGGGAGGCGTCGCTGCCAACGGGCTGTGAAATGCCCAGTCTTCTATGAAGAATTAATTTGTATTGGAACTTGTTACCATTTGTGAGATTATTTTTTTTTTAATTATTTTATTTTTTTTCTGTTAATGAGGAAAATTAATTAAGGCCTCGGTCTGAGCCAGTCAGAATAAATTAACGTGCAGGGAGGAAGGGGGAGAGGGCGAGGAGGACTGGAGAGGCTGGTTCCCAGCGGGGCCATGGATTCGATAAGGGCATGAGGAATAAGAACAATAATGGTGCTCTGGGGAGAAGAGGAGAGGGGAAACAAGCTCCCTCCTGCTCGCCAGCCACCCGCCCTGGTGGTGGCTGCTTTTTTGGGGAGATGACTTGGGTGGGAGAGCCACTCATGCCTCCAAGTGCAGCAAAGCGGCATCAAAAGAAAGCTGTTCCAAGGGATTTCAATCAAATATTCAAATAATTAATCTGGTTTCTTTCCTGTGGTGTGACATAATGAGGGTTGATGGCATTTTTTTTTCTCTTTCCCCATGAACAGATATTTTTTTTTTCACTGAATAGATGGATGATCACAGCTGGAAAAAACCCCAACCCCAAGGTGTGAACACAGGTGAGTGAACACACATGAAGGGAGCACGAGGAGCAGCCCAGCCTGGTCACAGCCCCAACCTGGGTATAAAACCCTCCTGGTGACATTGCTGCCTGCATCGGGGTCGAAGTGGGGACCCCTCTTGTGTCCCTCAGCCTGGAGCAACCCCTCTTTGCCCTCCCAGCCTCCACAGAGAGCTCGTGCTGGGGCTGGCCCCACTGAAGGGGCTAAAACCCGTGGTGGGAGAAGCGGGGCTGCCTACCTTAACAGCATTTTGCTGGAGGAGGATCAAGCACCCACCTGGCACGAGCTTGAGTTATTCCAGGGCCCCAGTGGGATGGCAGCAGATGGACATGTTGAGTTGCTTAAAAAAAAAATAAAAGTCATGGAGATTTCAGCCCCTCAGACAGCGCCGATGGTGCTGGGCTCTGGCAGCCTGCACTAAAATGTCTC